TTTTCTTCATTACCCATTCAAGCCGTCTCCAGCCATTATTAAATATCATATTGTTACATTTCACTATTCAGACCTCTGACTTGTTCCGTAAACCTGAGAATATGACAAACTTACAGAAATACCACTATTTTACATACACTTTAATTATCGTTCCTGCAGTAACTTCAAGTTTACTTCTGCTTCTCTGCTGCTCAAGATCTACTGTTCTGTGTGTTTTTGGAACTCGGTTCATTTGGTGGTGAAAGGTAAAAAGAGAACTGAAGTAAAACAAAAAGGCTGATGACGCAGCTTAATGTATTCGTATCTATCAGCTATTACTATGGCAATGTCAGTTTTGAACACGACAGAAAAGTCTACTAAAAGCAGCATTTTATCAAATACATTTTTCATGGTTTTAAATTTTCTAAAATATCTTTGATATGAATTAGAATTATCTGTTTTGGGTTTATACGATTCCCTGAATCCTGTGTTTCCAACCGTGACGTGACATAACTCTTGGCTAAAAGTATGAATCCTGTAAAATGTACACATTTCATATTTCAGTATATCATTACATGTTTTAACAAGTTTTACTTTAATTTAAAGCTTGCTTTGTGAAAATTTTCCTCTTTAAGTACTGAATTTCAATTTTATTTATAGAAAAAAAAACACACAGTTATAACTGATAACACGTCAGTACGAACGTTATTTTAAATTAACACAGAAGAATGAGAAAAAAACCCTGCAAAACACAGAAATTATTCTACACACTGTATACAATTAGTTAGTATCTCTCGATAATACTGAAGTCGAAATAATGAATTTGTATAATGTTCCGTAATACTCTGAAGAGAAAAACGTTTCTTCTTCAGGACAAAACCCGGTCACCTTCGGTAGGTAGACCATCCTTCTTTAGGACAAAACCCTAAACCCAGTCACGTTCAGAAGGTATGACATCCTTCTTTAGGACAAAACCCTAAACTAAACCCAGTCACCTTCAGAAGGTATGACATCCTTCTTTAGGACAAAACCCTAAACTAAACCCAGTCACCTTCAGAAGGTATGATATCCTTCTTTAG